GGAGACTCTACCTGCTCGAAACAAAAATCAAAAACAGCAAAAATCTACTCCAGGGGAAGGGGGGAGAGTGGGGGGGATGCAAGGGACCGCGCCGATCGGACAAATAAGGAATCAGAAAACGATCACCGTCTAACTCGTCTCCCCTCTGCCCGAACCTCTGCTATGGCATGAGCCATGGGCCATGGGGGAAAACATTGTCCTGACGGCAACAGGTCCTGGATCCCTGGGGCTTCCCCTCGAACCAGCTGCTCGTCCCGAAGCGCTCTTTGACGGGGGCCCGCGATGGGCCTCCGTGGGCCCATCGGAACGGAATGGCCACCCCCAGAACGCTCTCGACGAGGCGCAGCTGCTGGAAGGCATCCCGGAGCGAGACAATCCCCGAGAGTTATGATGTTCCAACCGACTTTAGCCTTGATCACCAGAAAGAATTTCGAGCACCAAGAAAGCGCCGAACCTCTAGTGTTTTCACGTGTCGGGCCCTGGGAGACACTCGTCCGACACTGTTTCGACACTCTTCGGGGTGCTCGAAATTATTTCTGGGGGAGCAACAGAAACCAAGAATCGTCTTTTGTCGGGCGTGTCCCCCTACAGGGGGATTTTCGACGAAAAAAACATACCCGCAAAATACATCAAAAGGTCAAAACCTATTCTCAAAAAATAGTCTCCAGACTATGTTTTTACTATTTTGGGAATGTTTTTGGGGTATCTTTTCATTTTCGTCAAAAAACACCCCTGTAGGGGGACACGCCCGACCTAAGAATAGTCGAACGCGTCTGCAAACGACGACAACGACGCCCACGACCCCCACCCAGGCCCCTCCAGCCAGGCCGAGTGGCAGCGCCCGGCCCAGTAGGAGGCGCCCGGGCCGTCCAAGGTCTTGAGCACGAGGCCCAGGGCCTGCCGCGCTGGGCGAGGGAGGACGAGGAGGACGAGGAGAAGAAGAAGGAGGAGGAGGACGAGGAGGAGAAGGAGGAGGGGGAGGAGGGCGAGGAGGAGGAGGAGGAGGAGGACGAGGAGGAGGAGGACGAGGAGGCCCTCTTCCCCCTCTTCCCCCTCTTCCCCCTCCTCCTCCTCCTCCTCCTCCTCCTCCTCCTCCCCCTCCTCCTCCTCCTCCTCCCACTCCTCCTCCCCTGCTCCTCCTCCTCCTCCTCCTCCTCCTCCTCCTCCTCCTCCTCCTCCTCCTCCTCCCCCTGCTCCTCTTGCTCCTCCTCCTCCTCCTCCTCCTCCCCCCTCCTCCACCTCCTCCTCCACCTCCTCCTTCCCCCCCGTCTCCTGCTCATTCTCCTCCTCCCCCTCTCCTTCCCCCGCCGCGCGGACGAACTCGACGCACTGGGCGAGCACTCCACCACGCCTACAGCTAGCGTGTCGACGCATCCGAACACTCGAGCAAACGGGGACAACTGCCATAGCCGACGAGGCGGCCCGCGCATTCGCGGGTGACGCGGACCGCTGGCGTGAGCCACCGTCGCCTGGAACCCCTGCTGTCAAGACGCCCATCATCCATGGACGCGAACCGCGCTTCAAGCTGGGTTTCGCCATCCCGCGAGCCTGTCCAGAGGCGGACGAGGCCTACCGTAAGGCCCACGCCCTCGACAAGTTTTGCCGCCAGGTCCGCATTCGCACACCGCGCGTCCCCGGCGGCAGGCGGAAGCGGCTGGTCCAGAGGTCTGGGACTTCAGGCCTCGAGAACGTCGACGAGCCGGTCGTCTGCGTCCGAGAATGTCGACACGCTGGTAGGGCGAAGGCCGGGGCCAGGAACTGGCAGGAGAGGAGGAGGAGGAAAAGCAGGAGGAGGAGGAGGCGAAGGAGGAGGAGGAGGAGGAGGAGGAGGAGGAGGAAGAGCAGGAGGAAGAGCAGGAAGAGCAGGAGGAGCAGGAGGAGGAGGAGGAGGAGGAGGAGGAGGAGGAGGAGGAGGAGGGGGAGGCAGCGCAGGGAGCATGGAGGACGGGGGTACTGGGGGGAAGAGGGAAAAAGAGGACTGGAGGCGGCCAGGGGATCGGAACTGGTTGGGTCCCAAAACATATTCGGCGGTGGACACACCTCCCTTTTGTAAACGCCGTTCATTTCTAATCGTGCTCATTTCTGATTGTGCTCGTTTCTAACTGTTCCTGGCCCCCTAGTGGCCAGGAAGAGGCCCAGGATAGAACAATCAGACATGAAATTATCTTGGCCCTCCAAGAAATCAAAGAACGTCCGAAGAATGAATAATGAACCATGTGTAAACCTCCCTTTGATGAAAGCGGCCCAGGGCCGAAACCGACGGACCTGGACCCGCAAAAATGACGGCCGCGACGCCCTCTCGCGAACCGAAAACGGCCAATTCACGAATCGACGCGTCAGGGCAGGAGGTCTATCAACCTCCGATATATGTTGGGAAGGAGAGATGAAGCCAAACCCGCTCAACATCAATTCCCCGACCCCTCCTCGGGCCCATCTGCCCCAATTGTTCGGCCCGGATCCGCTCTCGACGGCCCCAGGGGGCCCGAAGACGGCCCCCGGCGACCGACCGAAAGGATAGCCCCTTCGAGAGCAGAGCCTGGAGCCTGCCCCCTGCTCCTGCCGTGCTCGCAGGCCCCCCCGGCCGGCTCAAAGACGGGGGAGGTACGGAAGGGCGGGGAGCGGGGAAGGGAGGGGAGGGCGGAGGGAGGAGGAGGAGGAGGAGGAGGAGGAGGAGGGCGGAGGAGGAGGAGGAGGAGGGCGGAGGAGGAGGAGGAGGAGGAGGAGGAGGAGGAGGAGGAGGAGGTGAGCGGGGGAGCGCGAGCAGGAGGAGCGAGGGCAGAGGGCAGGGGCGGGCGCGGCAGCTCGCGGAGGGGCCCTCTCCTCGCGCGCGCCCTGCGCAGCCGAGCCAGGGGCACCGTATCCACACATCTCCTGGGGAAAGGCAGGGGTGAGGGGCAACGATCGGGGGGGGGTCTGGCTCATGCCAGAGGACGCTGCGACGCCACGGCGAAAAGGAGCGCGGCGCAGCTCGCAGGCGCCGTGGCATGGGGAGCTCATGGAGCAGAAACAGCACTTCCTCTTGGCAACCAGAATTTTATACCACCACCGCGCGTGCTTTGATGAATTTTGTTCCGGTCCTTAAGAGAGAGGGGGCAGCCCGGTTGCCGTTGGCGGCGGGAGGGGGGCTGCGGGATTTTCACCAGAGCAAAACTGCACCAAATCGCAGCGTCGATTATTATCGATCTTGGTGGTGGTCGGAAAAGAGGGGGGGAGATCGAAGTGGAACGGAGAGCCCCCCTACCGGAAAATCGATTTCGGTTTCGTGTTCGTGCGTGCCGTGCGTGCGGGCGAGGCGAAGCTGCGTGGGCGGGCGAGAGGAAAGTCTCCTGTGGCTGAGGCGCGGCCGGACCAAATGATTCTCCACCGGGCGGCCGGTGGCCCGCGGTGTCCCGCCGGTGTCCCGCGAAGTCCCGTGTGGCTGAGGCGCGGCCGGACCAAATGATTCCCTTCCGGGCGGCCGGTGGCCCGCGGTGTCCCGCGGGTGTCCCGCGGTGTCCCGCGGTGTCCCGCGGTGCCCCGCGGTGTCCCGCCGGTGTCCCGCGGTGTCCCGCGATGATGATGATGATGATGATGATGATGATGATGATGATGATGATGATAATGATGATGATGATGATGATGATGATGATGATGCTGATGATGATGATGATGAGATGATGATGATGATGATGATGATGATGATCGTGATGCTGATGATGATGCTGCTGATGATGATGACGATGATGATGATGATGGTGATGCTGATGATGATGAAGGTGATGGTGATGATGATGATGGCATGATGATGATGGTGTCCCGATGATGATGATGCTGATGATGATGACGATGATGTCGATGATGATGATGATGACGATGATGATGATGCTGATGGTGTCCCGATGATGAGGATGATGATGATCATGATGATTATGTTGATGACCATGGTGATGACGATGATGGTGTCCCGATGATGATGAGTATGATGATTTTGATGTTGATGATGCTGAATATGATTGTGTCCCAATGATGATGATGTTGATGATGATGATGTTGATGATGATTATGGCGTCCCGATGATGATGATTATTATGATGGTGATGATGATGTTGATGAAGATGGCGTCCCGATGGTGATGATGATGATGATGATGTTGATGCTGATGTTGGTAATGATGATGATGGTGCCCCGATGATGACGATGATGATGATGCTGATGATGATGAAGTTGATGATGCTGATGATGATGATGTCGATGATGAGGATAATATGATGATGGTGCCCCGATGATCATGATGATGATGATAACGATGGTGATCATGATGGTGTCCCGATGATGATGCTGCTGCTGATGATGATGACGATGACTGTGTCCCGATGGTGATGATGATGATGCTGATGTTGATGATGATGATGATTGTGGTGATGGTGATGATGATGATGGTGGTGTCCCAATGATGTTGATGACCGTGATGATGATGTTGGTGTTGATGATGAGGACTGTGTCCCGATTATGATGATGTTGGCGATGATGCTGTTGATGTTGATGTTGTTGATGATGATGACGTTGATTGTGGGAGCGGTTGTGATCGGAGATGAAGGGGTGAGATCGAAGTGGAACGGAGAGCCCCCCTACCGGGAAATCGATTTCGGTTTCGTGTTCGTGCGTGCCGTGCGTGCGGGCGAGGCGAAGCTGCGTGGGCGGGCGAGAGGAAAGTCTCCTGTGGCTGAGGCGCGGCCGGACCAAATGATTCTCCACCGGGCGGCCGGTGGCGCGCGGTGTCCCGCCGGTGTCCCGGTGGTGTCCTCTGTGGCTGAGGCGCGGCCGGACCAAATGATTCTCCACCGGGCGGCCGGTGGCGCGCGGTGTCCCGCCGGTGTCCCGCCGGTGTCCCGTCGGTGTCCCGATCATGATGTTGATGATGATGATTATGATGATGATGATGATGATGATGGTGATGATGATGATGGTAATGATGATGATGATGATGATGATGTTGATGATGGCGATGATGATGATGTTGATGATGTTGATGTTGTTGTTGATGATGATGATGATGATGATGATGATGATGATGACGTCGATTGCGAGATCGATTGTGATATCGGTAGTGAGACCGAATGTGAGACCGATAATGAGACCGAATGTGAGACCGAATGTGAGACCGAATGTGAGGTCGATAGCGAGATCGATTGAGTGAGACGTTGGTTCCCCCTCCCCCCTCACCTCCTTATCACCCGCAGGGTGGTCGTATAGGTAGTCATATACTGCGCTCGGACCAGAGGCCGAGAACGGCCCCAAACACGCCTGCTCCAATGTTTTGTGGGGGAGCGTCGGATCTCAGGCCCCCCCCCCTAGGCCTCTCCCCCCCCCATCGTTGCCCTCGAAGGGCGTTGCACACCGCTCCCAGGGTTAAGTCGGGCGTGTCCCCTACAGGGGGATTTTCGACGAAAAATAAAACATACTCAAAAAATACTCCAAAATGGTCTCAAAATATTGAAAAAATAGTCCCCAGACGATTTTTCCATTCTTTTTGAATATTCCCCCTGTAGAGGGACAGGCCCGACTTAATCCTAGGGGCCCGGGGCTGGCCCCAGTCGAAGCAGCGCACACGCGCACGGCGCGCGGCCTGCCCCCCCCCGGGCGAGCGGCGTGCCCCTCGCAGCAGAGGGGGCCTGGCGCCCCCCGCCAGCCTACTGCGCGGGGCGCGCGGCCCCCGCCGGCAGCTTGCCGTCGCCCTCGTCGAGCTCCCTGCTCGGGGGGCGAGCGCGGGGGTCGGGGAGACGCAAGGGCTCGGAGACTCGGGGAACTCTCGGGTTGGCCCGACGGGGCCATCATGAAGATGACGAGGCCCAGTCCCGAAATCTGACGCGGCCTCCCGCTGGAGACAGCCCACGATCACTGGGCCGTCCGAATCCAGGACGCGCCTGTCAAGAAGCGTCGGCAAGGCCGAGTTCGGGCGCACTCGAGTCTTGCGTTTGCGGCGGGACTCCTCAGAAGCCCTCGCGCCTCCTGAGAAGTGTTCTGCGTCTTCGGGGACGGCTTAGAACTCGGCGGTGGACAAACCTCCCTTTAGGAAACCTCCCCTTAGTGAAAACGGCCTGGGACCGAAACCGACGGACCTGGACCCGCAAAAATGACGGCCGCGACCCCCTCTCGCGAACCGACAACGGCCAATTCCTTAATCGACGTGTCAGGGTAGGAGGTCTATCCACGCCCGAAGAACACCTTTCACAGAAGGCGGGGGGGACCTCTCCGAGCCTCCCGAGAAGGCCTTCTCCTTCCCGCTTCCCCCGTTCGCTCGCCGCCGACCTGCGGCAGAGAGGGCAGCTCTTCGAATACTTCTCGAGCCACTCGCCCAGGCAATCCTTCTTGCCACAGGGCAGAATGGGGCGCAAAAAGACACGGTTACTAGCACTATGCACCCTCCTCGGAGACGTATGCCCGAACCGAACGTACGGCTCAAGCATCATGTGGCAGATCGTTTCCCGAGAAAGCGCCCGCCACGTTGCTTACACTAGACACTAGAAGATCTCTCGGCGCGCGCGGTCCCTGGGGGGACGGCGCACACATTGTATATGTTGGTTGATGCCGACAAAACTCCGGCAAGTTCGCGTCGTGACGACGTCGTTCTGAAACTGTCTGAATCGCTCAACCTTGAGGGATCGCGGCTTCCCGGCAGTAGCGCTGGATCGTTCGATGTCGGCCAAAGCCAGGCCACTGGCGGTGTTCAGCATTGATCGCCCTCGCCGGAATCGTCGCCACGACGACCCGACGCGGACCCCCCCCACCCAACTACCGTACACGCTGTCCCCGCCCCCCCAGGAGGAGGAGGAGGAGGAGGAGGAGGAGGAGGACCAGTGTAAGCCCAAGAGTCATCACCGATGTTGCAATTAACCCTCCCTCCATTCGCTTGAAGCAACCGTTTGAAGACAACCGTTGGAAGACCCTGAAGCATGACAAAACATTGTTCTCCGGATCTCAACGCCACGGATCAGCCTGACTGCTGCGCCTTGACGATCGGGAATCGCGCAAGAACGCCAATTCTAGGACTTCAACACCGCGAAGCAAAATAACTGTTGCACCCGCATAATCCAAAACCCGTCCAAAACACATTTTCTGGTACGTTGATCATGGGAATCCTTGAAAATCTTCCAAATGTTTAGAACGAATGTGCGCGGCGCTGACGCGAGAACCACACTTTGAAAACGGCCCGCCCTCAATCCGTGAAGCTCTTGCAAATAGCTTAAAAAATGCTCGCGGCGCTGAGGCGAGAGCTACGTTTTGAAAACCACCCGCCCGCAATCCGTGAAACTTTTTAAAATGTTTAAGACGAGCGTGCGCGGCGCTAAGGCGAGAGCCACATTTTGACAACCACCCGCCCGCAACCCTTGAAACTCTTGCGAAGTTTTAAAACGAATGTGCGCGGCGCTAAAGCGAGAGCGACATTTTGAAAACGGCCCGCCCTCAATCCGCGAAACTCTTGCAGTTTTCTTCAGCGAATGTGCACGGCGCTACGACGAGAGCCACGTATTGAAAACCAATGGCCCTCCATCTGTGCAACTGCTGCCACTTCTTAGGCTTCAGAATCATAAGTGGTGAGGAACTCTCACGCAAAACGCCCGGCCTCGGGGTGCGACAGGGAGATAAGGTTATTCCACAATCGGAGCTTGCCTCTGTAGGGGTCCTAGCGGAAGGTGCGCCGCCGATTTCGGCGCCACGCCCGGGTGCCCGGGTGCCTAGGTGCCCGGGTGAGGTGCGCCGCCGATTTCCGCGGCCGAGCGCCAGCGTGCCCGGGTGCCCGGGTGCCCAGGTGCTCTATAGCTCTATAGCCCTATAGATCCATAGCACTATAGCCCTATAGCCCCATGGCCCTATAGCCCCATAGCCCTATAGCCCTATAGCCCTATAGCCCTAGAGCCCTAGAACCCCATGGCCCCATAGCCCTATAGCCCTATAGCTCTATAGCCCTATAGCCCTAGAGCCCGAGAGCCCTAGAGCCCCATAGCCCTATATCCCTATAGACGTAGAGCCCCTATAGCCCTATAGCCCTATAGCCCTATAGCTCTATAGCCCTATAGCCTTATAGCCCTATAGCCCTATAGCCCTGTAGCCCTAGAGCCCTAGAGCCCCATAGCCCCATGGCCCGATAGCCCTGTAGCCCTATAGCCCTATAGCCCTATAGCCCTATAGCCCTATAACCCCATAACCCCAGCAAAGAATCTGATTGGGGTTTCTCTCCAGTCTCCGTTTATCAGGAAAAAGGAATGGAGATGGAGGAGAAGGAGGAGGAGGAGGAGGAGGAGCGAGCAGGAGGAGCGAGCAGGAGGAGGAGGAGGAGGCGGAGGATGAGCACAACTAGGGCGTCCACGGCCACCTGGCACAGATATGCGCACCTGGCCCAAGGAGCTCTCGGCCGCCCCGGGCGGGGGCGGGGCGGACCAAGGTGCCGTGTTCCTGACTGTGTGGGGGGTCCTTGTGGAAGAAGTGGCCGCAGACTGTCCTCTTGATCACCCTGTCGTGCCCGAAGGATTCCTGGCAGACGCAGCACTCTGGAGGCTGCTTGTAGTCATCCTGGCCGTCCGAGAACAGGTCGGGCGAGAAATCAACTGTCTCGATCTCCTTGGGGGCGTGTAGGCTTCACACAAAGCATGCCTCAACGCAGGCACCCACACGCACACATCAATCACACGAACACGCACAACACACACACACACCACACCAGACACCAGACACCACACCAAACACCTTTTTTCGTCGCGGCGCGTCAGAGGCAATCCGGAGACGACACCGTACTCTACACCACACCAAGCACACACACACAACAAAACATCACACACGCACACACACACACACACGCACACGCACACGCACACGCCCACACACACACACACACACACACACACACACGCACGCACGCACGCACGCACGCACACGCACGCACGCACACGCACACGCACACGCACACGCACACGCACACGCACACGCACACGCACACGCACACGCACACGCACACGCACACGCACACGCACACGCACACACCGACACCGACACCGACACCGACACCGACACCGACACCGACACCGACACCGACACCGACACCGACACCGACACCGACACACATTGCATATACACGCACACACTGCACACACCGACACACACACACACATACACACAAAGCACACAGAGCACACAGAGCACACACGTACCTGTGGCGCCGCGGCCGCGCGCGCAGCGGCGGGGCGCAGAGAGTCGGTCGGAGAGACACGCGCGCGGCCGGCCCAGGTCACGCGCACGCGTCGCGGGGGGGCACTGGGTGCGCCCCGAGGGGGATCGACCGCATCGCTCGCGAGGGGGGGGTGAAACGCGAGGGGAGCGGCGGGGGTGGGGATAGATGGAGAAGCACGGGGAGGGGGGGGGGGGGGGCAGAGGCGAAGCGGTGCACGGTGCGGGCGAGGAGGACGAGGCGCAGCGACGAGCTCCGAAGGGCGAGACAGGAGCGGAGGCGAGACAGCAGGCAGACGAGGACCCTGCACATAAACACGCACACACACAAGACACACACACACACACAGCACACAACACACACAGACACAGACACAGACACTGACACTGACACAGACACAGACACAGGCACAGACACAGACGCAGACACATACACATAAACACACACACACGTACGTACGTACGTACGTACGTACACACACACACACGTTCCAGTTCTGGCGCTGTGAAGCAAGGCACGCGTGCGCAGCGCACGCCAGCGGGCACGCTGACGAATACTGCAGACAAGCTCGTTTCGAGTGCGCTCAAGGACTCAAACAAGGCCAGAACCCATGGTTCCTCCGCCAGCGCTGTAGCACCACAGCCGCGATCAGCAATGTGTGCTGGCAGCGGACATGTCCCGGGGCAGCCGCGCCGCACTTCCGACGACGGCCTTGGCAGCACTCCAAGTCTGCGCTCTGGGGCCGCCCTTCGGCAACTCCCCCCCCGCCCCTCTCCCCCCCTCCGCTTCCCCCTCTGGGCCCGCGCCCACCCCCCGGCCCCCCAAGAGCCCTTTTCAGGATACATCCCGAAGCCCCCCAATGCCCTCCCCCTGCGGGCAGCCCTGTATAGCGACCCTCCGATCCCCCCCCCAGACACCCACAGCCCCCCGACAGCTAGCCCCCTGACAGCCGCCCACACCCCCCCCCCGACAGCCTCCCGACACCCCCCCGACAGCCCTTTACGCGCTTCGTGGCCCCATATACAGGGCTCCACCGAAGACGATGCCCACTATCGCGGTGGGTCCGTTGTGTCCATTGGGTCGTGTATGGTTGGGTTGGGTTCGTTGTCGAGATAATCTCACCTGCCCTTTGGGCTAAAGTGATCTAGCGAGTTCTTTACGTCTCTTCCAAAAAAACGCTTCCCTTCCAGGAGGTTTGCCTTACAGCCCTCCTAAGCTTGCTGGGGGCTGCTGCGGTGTGTCAGGGCGCCCAAGACGGCCCAAGATGGCCCTACGAGGGCCCAAGATAGCCCAAGATGTATTACAAGATGGCTCAAGATAGCCGACGACAGTTCAAGATAGCTTCCGACATACCTCCAACATTCCCGACGAGAGGGCCACAAGACGGCTTGCAGTGATCTCGGAGCCTCCTCAGCACCCCCCCACGAGGCCCAAATCCTTTAAACACATCGAATGTAAATCAATGATGTGGGCCGTCTCGCCTTCTTGCTTCCGATGTGCTTCTGGTGCCTCAAGATGGCCCAAGAGAGGCCCAAGAGAGGCCCGAAAGGCCCCCCCAGACGGCCCCAGACGGTCCCAAGAGCGCCCAAGAGCGCTCCAAGAGGGCCCTAAGAGGCGATTTTGGATGCCCCCCCTTCTGATCGATGGCCTCCAAGATGGCCCAGAGAGGCTCTCCAGGGCTCGCAGGGGAGCGCCACGAGGGCTCCAAGATGGTTACAAGAGGGCTCCAGGCCCCCCAAAAGATCCTCAAGAGGACCCCATGATCCCCCCAAAAGTGTCCAAAGAGGGCTCCAAATAGAATTTCCGGGATTTGTTCTCCTCCTCCTCCTCTTCCTCCTCTTCCTCCTCCCCCTCCTCCTCCTCCTCCTCCCTCCTCCCTCCTCCTCCTCCTCCTCCCTCCTCCTCTCCTCCTCCTCCCCTCCCCCTCCCCCTCCCCCTCCCCCTCCTCCCACTCCTCCTCCTCCTCCTCCTCCTCGTCCTCGTCCTCGTCCTCGTCCTCGTCCTCGTCCTCGCCCCTGCCCTCATCGTCTTCCTTTTCGTTTTGCTCCTCTTCCTCCTGCTCCTCCTCCTGCTCCTCCTCCTGCTCCTCCTCCTGCTCCTCCTCCCCTTGCCCCCACGAGGGGCCCCAGGGATGGCCCGAAGAGGCCCTCCAAGGCCACCCCCTCGCTCCCAGAGATCTCTCTTTTCACCCTGGTTGGCCGCTTTGCTTCACTGCATGTGTCTCCGCGCTCCTTTCCCCGTCGAATCTCATGCGCAAGGTTTCTGAATGGGCTGGCGGGGATACTTTTTCCGTCGCGGCCGCGGGCGAGCGCGCCAGCAGCATCAAGGGTCGGGCGGGCTACGCGCGAACCTAATTGCCTAACGCGTCACTGCTGGTGGGGATAACCGAAACGTGAAGAATGTTCCAGTCCGTCCCACGCTCCGCGGGGGGGGAAGCAGCAGTCGCTGTCCCGCGTGGAGAAACAGCGGCTGGGCACGGAGGGCCCCGACCTACCCCTGCCGACAGAGGGGCGGGAACCAACGGTAGAGGAAAGGAGGGGGGCAACACGGCCCACCCGCCAGTAGCTCACAGCAGCACAGCTCGACAAACACATTCACACATTCACACATACACACACATACATACATACATACATACATACATACATACATACATACATACATACATACATACAGGCAGACGGACTGACAGGCAGGCAGGCAGACATACACACATACATGCATACATGCATAGATGCATACATGCATACATGCATACATACACGCGCACATGCATACATGCATAAGTGCATACATGCATACACACGTAGGGACCTGTGTACGTACATGTGTACGTGCATGCGTGCATATATACAGACCTATATAGAGGTGTATATATACATACATATATATTCACACACATGCATCCATGCACGCATACACGCAACCAACCGTACACATATACACATACCTACATACATGCATGCATGCATGCACACATGTTTACATACATGCATACACAACTGAATACGTGAACGCACATACATACATACATACATGCATGCATGCATGCATACATACATACATACGCATACATATAAACATACATGCATACGTACACAGGCAACCGCACATACCTAGAGGTGCACACCGCCATACGTCAATACAGGCATACACACATACATGCGTGCGTGCATACAGCCACACATGCAGACATGCATGTATGCATACAAGTATGCAGACATGCGTGCATACATGCATGCATGCATGCGTGTATATGCTTTTACGTACATAGGTGCAGTCTTACCTACATGCAACTCTGCATACGTACATACATGCATGATTCCATGCATACACATACACACGTACATGCATACATACATACATACATAGATACATACATACATACATACATACATGCGTACATACATACATACATACATACATACATACATACATACATACATACATACATGCATGCATGCATGCATACATACATACATACATGCATACACACACCCAGTCCATACATACATACATACATACATACATACATACATGCATACATACATACATGCATGTATGCATACATACACACTTACATACATACATGCATACATACATACATGCATGCATGCATATGCATGCATGCATGTATGCATATAAGCATACATACACGCACACAACCATACGCACATGCATGCATCAACACATTCATACATACGTGCGTACATACGCAAACCATTACCCTGGCGACGTACCCAACCCCTGCGCAACGCGGGGCATGAATAGATTGGGAGACGTTATACGGAGGTGATGACGTGACATGGGCGCATATACTTCTGCGAGCGGCATTCGTGAGGCTCGCAGCCCCCCCCCAAGGATTGCGGTGTCTGGCTCAGATCTGCCTGGTGCATCGCTCCGCTGAACCCGCCACCAGCCTTCGAAAGTTGCGACAGCTTCGCAGATCACAGCCCCCCAAGGACGGCGAGGTCCCGCTCAGATCTGCGCGGAGCCTCACTCCGCAGGACCCACCAGCAGCCCCCGAAAACGGGGACACTGTCGTAGATCGCAGCCCCCCAGGGACGGCGAGGTCCCACTTTGATCTGCGCGGTGCCTCACCCCGCAGGCCCCCCCTCGAAAGTGGCGCCAGCTTCGCAGATCGCAGCCCCCCCTGGGACGGCGAGGTCCCGCTCAGATCTGCGCGGTGCCTCACTCCGCAGGACCCACCAGCAGCCCTCGAACGTGGCGACAGTTTCGCAAATCGCAGCCCCCCAGGGACGGCGAGGTCCCACTTTGATCTGCGCAGTGCCTCACTCCGCAGGACCCACCAGCAGCCCTCGAAAGAGGCGACCGTTTCGCAGATCGCAGCCCCCCAGGCACGGCGAGGTCTCGCTCAGATCTGCGCGGTGCCTCACCCCGCAGGACCCACCAGCAGCCCTCGAAAGTGGCGACAGCTTCGCAGATCGCAGCCCCCCTGGGACGGCGAGGTCCCGCTCAGATCTGCGCGGTCCCTCACCCCGCAGGACCCACCAGCAGCCCTCGAAAGTGGCGACAATGTCGCAGATCGCAGCCCCCCAGGGACGGCGAGGTCCCGCTCAGATCTGCGCGGTGCCTTTCTCCGCAGGACCCACCAGCAGCCCTCGAAAATGGCGACCGTTTCGCAGATCGCAGCCCCCAGGGACCGCGATGTCTCGCTCAGATCTGCGCGGTGCCTCACCCCGCAGGACCCACCAGCAGCCCTCGAACGTGGCGACAGTTTCGCAAATCGCAGCCCTCCAGGGACGACGAGGCCTCGCTCAGATCTGCGCGGTGCCTCACTCCGCTGGACCCACCAGCAGCCCTCGAACGTGGCGACCGTTTCGCAGATCGCAGCCCCCCAGGGACGGCGAGGTCTCGCTCAGGTCTGCGCGGTGCCTCACTCCGCAGGACCCACCAGCAGCCCTCGAAAGAGACAACAATTTCGCAGATCGCAGCCCCACAGGGACGGCGAGGTCTCGCTCGGATCTGCGCGGTGCCCCACTCCGCAGGACCCACCAGCAGCCATCGAAAGTGGCGACAATTTCGCAGATCGCAGCCCCTGAGACGGCGAGGTCTCGCTCAGGTCTGCGCGGTGCCTCACCCCGCAGGACTCACCAGCAGCCCTCGAAAGTGGCAACAACTTCGCAGACCGCAGCCCTCCAGGAACAGCGAGGTCTCGCTCATATTTGCGCGGTGCCTCACTCCGCAGGACCCACCAGCAGCCCTCGAAAGTGGCGACAATGTCGCAGATCGCAGCCCCCCTGGGACGGCGAGGTCCCGCTCAGATCTGCGCGGTGTCTCACTCCGCTGGGCCCACCAGCAGCCCTCGAAAGTGGCGACAATGTCGCAGATCGCAGCCCCCCAGGGACGGCGAGGTCCCGCTCAGATCTGCGCGGTGTCTCACTCCGCTGGGCCCACCAGCCGCCCTCGAAAATGGCGACAGTTTCGCAGATCGCAGCCCCCCCGGGACGGCGAGGTCTCGCTCAGATCTGCGCGGTGCCTCACCCCGCAGGACCCACCAGCAACCCTCGAAAGTGGCGACAGCTTCGCAGATCGCAGCCCCCCAGGGACGGCGAGGTCCCGCTCAGATCTGCGCGGTGCCTCACTCAGCTGGACCCGCCAGCAGCCCTCGAAAGCGGCGACAGTTTCGCAGATCGCGGTCTCGCTCAGATCTGCGCGGTGCCTTTCTCCGCAGGACCGTCCCACCAGGAGCCCTCGAACGTGGCGACACTTTCGCAGATCGCAGCCCCCCAGGGACGGCGAGGTCTCGCTCAGATCTGCGCGTTGCCTCACTCCGCAGGACCCACCAGCAGCCCTCGAAAGTGGCGACGGTTTAGCAGATCGCAGCCCCCATCGTCATCGAAGAGAGGGCAGGATGAGGAGGAGGATGCGGAGGGACGCGACCATAGTGCTCTATTCGAAACGAATACCCAACCACGGTGGGTTGGGACTATGCACATATATTCATGCATGCATACATATAGACATGCATACATATAGACGTGCATACATACATGCATGCATGCATGCAACCATACATACATGCATGCATGCATACATACCTACACACATACATACAGACATACATACATACATACATACATACATACATACACACATACATACGTACATACATACATACATACATACATACATACATACATACATACATACACACACACATCCATCCATCCATCCATCCATCCGCACCTACCTGCCGACGTACCTAACTACCTACCTACCTACCTACCTACACGCATGCATGCATGCATACATACATGCATAACTATATCACTATACACATACGTTCATATACAGTGCTGCCACCATGCATACAAACATACATACATGCGTGCATCCATCCATCCATCAATCCATCCATCCATCCATCCATCAATACATACATACATGCATGCATGCATACATACACACACATGCATGCATACATACATACATACATACACACAACCATACATACACACAACCATACATAGATACACACATACACACATACATACACACATACATACATACATACATACATACATACATGCATACACACATCCATACATGCATACACGCATACACACATACATACACACATGCATACATACATACATACATACATACATACATACATACATACATACATACTTACATACATACATACAGACATACATACATGTATACACACATACATACATATATGCATACATGCATACATGCATGCATATACACATATACACATACATACATACATTTTTATATACATAGATATACATACATACATACATACATACATACATACATACATACATACATGCATACATGCATGCATACACACATACATGCACGCGCGCATGCATACATACGCGCACACAATCATACATACATACATGCGCACATACATACCTACAGTTACATACATACATACAAACATGCATTTCTATACAGTCTTATATGAATGATTACGCATACAAGTGTATACCATTGTGTGGAAAGAGAGAGGGAGAGAGAGAGAGAGAGAGAGTCGAGTTGGCGGTTGCCGCCTCGCGCGCAGCAACGTGGCGGGGAAAGTCGTTCAGAGAGCGAACAAAGAGCGACACACACACACACACACATACACATACACATATACACACACGCACACAAGCGGGAGCCGCGCTCTCCCAGGGCTTTGGGGCGGGGCCACTGCGAGCAGGTGGGGGCAGGTCAAGCGAGAAGTCGACGTACAGGTTCCAGGGGCAGCTGCGCGCAGCATGGTCGGCGCTCCGTCGTGCAGCTGCCTCCCTGAGTCCTGCACGCCGCTGGAAGTGCTCGTGCAGCGGATCCAGGAGACTGCGGGGCTGTCCCCCGGTAGGGGGACGATGCCGCGCCGCTGGTGAGCGTGGTCCTCGCGCCCTCCCTCGCTGCGGTGCTCACGCGGTGCGCCCTGATCGTGGCGTCGCGAATTCAACAGGAATGCCAGGAAGGCAAAAAGGAGGGGCTGCTTGCTCTGGCCGCGGCGGGGACAGAGGGACTCTGCCTGGCCACGCACAGGCTCCCCGACCCAGACCCCCAGGCATCTGGCGGCTGGACCTCTCGACCACTTTCCCGGGGCCGCTTCTTCTAAATCCTGGGGGGGCGTCTCTTGCCGCGCTCCCCACGGGGCTCCGACACTGGCATGCAGAAGCCAAGCATCTAGAAACTCCGGCCGCCCCGCTGCTTTTTCGAGCCGCCGCAGCCTGATTGGACGCCCGAAATGGGTACTGAAAGAATGGGCACAATGCCCAACAACAAATGTTGTCCCAAACCAACAGCGGCCGCTGTTGGGCAGGCGGCCTTCTGTCTGAAGTGGACACAGGCCGCGGCGGCGTGGACAGCGAATCCTGTTCAAAATGAAGAGGAACTGCTGTTGGGCATTGTGCCCATTCTCTTCGTACCCATTTCGGGCGTCCAGAGCCTGTGCCTGGGTGTCCAGGGTCTGGAGAGCGGCCCGGCAACCGGGGGCCCTCCTGCGCACCACGGTGGTCCCCATGCTTCCGCGCCTCTTGGCGCCGCAGACGTGCACGCGACCGAGGCGCGCGCCGGCTCGGACCCCCGACGAGAGGGGGCGGCGCGAGAGGGCACGGGCACAGAGCAGAAGGGCAGCTGGCAGGAGGAGGAGGAGGAGGAGGAGGAGGAGGAAGAGGAGGAGGCTCGCAGGAGGGGGGGCCAATGGCGAGGAGAGCCGACGATCGAGGAAGCGACAGGTGCAGGGCAAGGAGCGCTCGGAGGCCCGCGCGGAGCTCCCGGATCGGCGCGGGGCCTCCTCTGGCGGCGGCTCCCTCCGCGCCCCCCGGCGCTGCGAAAGGTCAGGGGTGAGGGTCGAGCACCGACGGCCCGAGCAGTGCGGACGGGGCTCCCGGCAGCTGAAGTGCGCATGCAGGTCCTCAAGAAATGGCAGGAGGAACCGGAACACACGCACACACACACACACACGCACACACACACACACGCACGCACGCACGCTCACGCACACACGCACACGCACGTACACACACACACACACACACACACGCACACGCACACGCACACGCACACGCACACGCACACGCACACGCACACACACACACACACACACGCACGCACGCACACGCACGCACGCACGCACACGCACGCACACGCACGCACACGCACGCACACGCACACGCACACAGACAGACACACACACACACACACACACACACATCGCTAAAAACGCTAAGCAGGGAGACTGTCAATACAGTCGGTCCACCATCGTGGACATCATGCGCATAAAGCTGCGACCCCCAACGGAGAGCTAGACGTAGCCGTCCGCTGAGCTGCATGGTACAGTCAGGAATGCATAGACGCGCACGCGTGCACGTGCATGCACACGCTTTCGTGCGCGCAGCGGCGAAGGAACGCCTGTCCCCACATAAGCTGCGACGTTGGCTCAAATCAGCCTCCCCCGCCCAGGGCGAGACGGCCTTGACTCCTGCTAAAACATCTACGGGGGCACCTCAGTGCTGTGGAAGCGGACATGCGGGAAATAATCACATAACACTGATTCGCCCTGCAAGGCTCTCCTCCACAAATCCTGGTCTGGCTGCCATGCCGCCGTGACTGCTGTCGAGGAGGCCTCGCCGTGCGATGAAGAACATCAACGTCATCATCCCGCAAGAGGTGAAGCACAAAAGTGACCTTGGAGAAGCCGGAACAGCATTCACCCGAAGCAGGTTGCTCAATCCCAGCAGCCCCTTTGCGCTAAGATGGTCTAGCGAGTTCTTCCTTCCTCTTCCAGAAACCCTCTTCCCTTTGGGGAGGGGTACCCTCCCCCTCCCCTCCCTGTTTTGTTTTGGATTTCGCGGTCGGCCAGGGCGCCCAAGATAGCCCAAACTGGCTCCAAGAGGGCCTCCGACGCTCCAAGATGGGCTCCAGGGCGGCTCAAGATAACTGAAGATGGTTCAAGATAGCTTCCGACACGGCTCCAACAGGCCCGACGAGGGCCACAAGACGGCTTCAAGTGCTCTCCGGGCGTCCTCAGGACCCCCCCAAGAGGGCAAACTCGTTCAAACACCCTAAGGGCAGACACTGAGTTGTGCTTCCTCGCCTTTTTGCTTTTGATGCGTTAGTCAGGCATCCAGATTGTCCCAAGATGGCCCAAGATAGCCCCAAGAGGGGTCCAAAAGGCAACCAAAACGACCCCAAGAGCGCCCAAGATCGGCCCAAGACCGTCCCAAGAGGGCCCCAAGAGGCGAGTTGAATGGCCCCGGGGGGACGCAAATCGAGGACCCCACCCCTCTTTTGATCGATGGCCTCCAAGATGGCCCCAAGAGGCCCCCCAGGGCTCCCAAGGGACCCCAAGAGAGCTCCAACAGGGCCCAAGGACCCCCAAAAGAGCCCCAAGAGGACCCCAAGATCCCCCATAAGAGTCCCAAGAGGACTCCAAGAGGCGATTATGAGGGCTCAGTCCTCGACCTTGCCCTGATCGTCTTCCTTTTCCTTTCCCTCCTCGAGATCCTCTTCCTTGTCGCCGTGGCCGTCGTGGTCGTCGTCGTCGTCTTCTTCCTCCTCCTCCTCCTCCTCGTCCTCCTCCTCCTTCCCTCGCCCACGCGGGCCCCAGGTATGGCCCGAAGAGGCCCTCCAGGGCCACCCCATGGCTCCCAAAGCTCTCTCTGTTCACCCTGGTTGCCCGCTTTGTTTTACTACGTGTGTCTATTTGCCCTTTTACCCGTCAACTCACATGGGAAGGGTTTCTAAATGAGCTGGTGGGGATACTTTTTTTTGTCGCGGCCGCAAGCGGAAGCGCAGGAGGCATCCGAAAAGGTCGGGCGGGCTACGCGTTGGCGGCTCCCAGGCGAAGGTCGAGGAGGGTTGGTGGGGATACGCGGAGCGTGAAGAACTCCTATTACATGTGCACGCCTAGTCGCAATCGCATGTGATCAGTACTCGCCAAGGCAAATAGCAGTCGACGTGATCAGAAGGGAACGCAAATCGAGATAGATCGCAGACCAGTTGCCTCAACGCGTGAGTTCGCATATCGGCAGCGCAGCAGATCTCAGACACAGTACTATGATGCAGGGACCGAGCCAGCACTTTGTAAGCCAAGTAGTAGGCGACAAAGTTGTACAATCTAGAATTTGTGTCCGAGCAAGTGCTGCAGGAGAACAGAAGCCACGTCCCCATGACCACGTAAACAAGCTCCATGGCGAGTACAATCTTGTGAAAACTACTGCTGGTGCCATCGTGCTGGCACGTCTGCTTGTGCAAGATCGGGGTGACCAGCGCGACCAGGAGCCACCACTGCAGCGGTTGGTCGCAAGGGACACCCCTCGTCTGAAACCACGTCACGCAGCCGGTGATGTAGAACCTCGGCAGCGCCCATCCGATGACCGGCTGCTCTTCGGCCCTTCCGAACACCCGATCCCGATGGGCCGGTCCCTCTCCGCGCACAAGGGCGCGGAGCATCCGACCGAGCGAGATCCCGATGCTGAGCAATTTGGATCTCGGCCAGATCGGCGGCCCTACCGAGCTCTCCCGTCGACGGATCAGGGTGCCTCTACACGCAGAACACGAGGCCTGCGATAGAGATCCGCCACCGTGCCTTCAGCACGCAGTGGAGTGCCCCAAGGCTCAGACAGATGTGAGTGTCAGAAGGATTGTGGGATGGCCCAGACCACCAGTTTGCCAGACTCCGACGCCCATCTGTCCGCTCCTGGGCGCTTCCAGCGTGTCTCGCGTGAGCCAATTGAGAGCCAGACCCGCCCAAAACCGACTCCATCATCCCCCGAAATAGCCCTCCAAGCAACGCTCGCACAAAACCTCAGGAGCTCTCTGTAGCCCAAGGGCCCGTCCTGGGGTTCTCTCGGGGGCCTCCTGAGGCTGACCCGGGAGGCCAACGAGTCCTCCCGAGACGGCCCCGGAGACACCCACGGGAAGGCCAGAAGTTCGCGAGGCCCCCAAGGGGAGGCCCAGAGGCCTCCCAGAGGGGGGTCCGAGAGGGTGAGCTCGAACTGCCGTTTGAAGCCCTCCGCTCCAAGCTGGCCCAGAGACAGCCAGCAGGCGCCCAAGAAGGCTGGTCACCAGGAGGCCCCCACCAGAGGCCCCCCAGATGCCTCCTGGAAGGTCCCAATGGGGCCCCCGCCTCGGCCACGATGGCGAGACGGGCCGAAGGTAACCAGATCCGTCGCATCCTCTTGTGGTCTTGCCACAGGTTGTGCACGGCGTGTCACATGTCTGGCAGAGTTCTGGCTCTGTTCTAAAGAACTCCCACTGGGGCTTCGAGCGCCCCAAGAAAACCCCAGAGAGGCTCCCGAGACGGCTTCTGACGGCGTCAGACGGGCCCAGAACGCCGCAAGACTGCCAAAGAGGCCCCCAAGAAGCTCCGAAAGGCCCCCAAGAGGCTCAAGGAGGCCCCCAAGAGGCCTCCGAGAGGGTCCCAGGAAGCTCCCAGGAGGCCCCAAGAATTACCCAAGAAGCTCCGAAGAGGTCTCCTCAGTCTTCTCCTCATCCTCATTTTTCCTCCCTCTCTTCATCCTCATCTTCCTCCCCCACGTGTTCCCCGAAGGGCTTCCGCAACGGCTGGGGGAACGCATCGTCCAATTGCGTGTTGCCCAAACGTTTGGCCACGGCGCGGCGGTGATTCGCCGTAGGCGCCTTCGATAGTCAGCTTCAGCAGCACGGTGCACACGAAGATGGGCAGCGCCCGCAGCAGCATCTGGCGGGCAACGGCGGACTGGTTCTGCGCGAAGCGGTCCCGGTTCGCAGCCACCGTGGTGGCCCCCTTTCGGCGAGACGCCAGGGTGGCCCTGGGCAAGAGTGCCCTTGGGTGCGCGGCTGTCGAACGCCGCGGGGGGGAGGCAGAATCCAGTCGCACATGCCAGTGATGGGGGGGGCCTTGCGTTGGCGGCGGCGCGCCCCGGGGAAGGCGGAGGGGGCGGGCCTTCTCAGAAGGCTCCTCCAGCCTTCTGAGAAGCTCTCCAAGCCTCCTCCGAAACCGCAGAGTGCTTCTCAGAAGGCCCGAGGGCTTCTCCGAAGCCCCGCCGCCTTCTGAGAAGACCTGCCCCCTCTGGCTGCCCCCCTCGGCACGCCGCTGGCTGAGGCCCGCACCAGGTCACTCCGGCGAAGGATCCCTCGCACGCGCGCCTGGGCCCGGGACATCCGACGCCTGGGAAAAACTGCAACATCGCAACGCCTCACGGCCAGAGCCCCAGACACCCCGCCCCCTGCGCCACATCTCGAGCCGGGTCCGTGTTCCGAGCCGGACCCATCCATTATGTGTTTCGAGCCGGCCCGAAGCTGGGCGAGCGCGCACGGCACACGCAACAAACATGGAGACGCCAGGATCTCAGCTGGGCAGGGGCCGACCGTCCCAGCATTCCTATAGGCCTATCACGACGTGCCCTTAGAACCCAGAAAGTGTCTGCTGATAAAAGCGCTCTTCTCAGAACACACGAGCCCGATGTGCCAAGACAAGACAGGCTCGGCCAGAACTGCTCCAAGACCAAACTCCGTGCAGGCCACGAAGGGGCTCTTAGGACCTTCTCTCAGATGCTGGGCCTCTCCTTCGGCGGGCCAGCACGCTTCGCCACTGCTCGACTCAGGGTCGACCCTGGGCCTCCTCGCGCGCGCCGGGCGCCGCGCCCGCCGCCGGGGCGCCCGGCGCGGGCGCGTCCAGGAGCGTGGCGGCCAGCGCCTCGACCAGCACCAGCCCGCCCGCCGCGGGGCCCAGCGCGGCCGGCCGCGCGTCGGCGGCGGGCGCCGGCGCGCGGGCCGCCCCCGAGCGGCGGTGCAGGATGCGGGGGGCCCACGTTCCACTGCCACCACGTCCCCTGAGATCCGACGCTCAACACCCTGGCCTCCCAGAGAGCTCTTCTCTAGCACCGGAGGCCCACAAGCCTACAAGACGGAACGAAACATCCTATAAAACCAAGACGTAGAATAGCCTTGGGATAGGTTTGGAAGTCCAGTGCTATTTTTCTAGCTCTCCCGGAAGGTCAGGGCAGAAGTTGGAGCAGCCGGTTTGGGATAGTTTTCGGCCTCCGGGGGCCCTCGCCGGGCCTCGGCAGCGTCAAAAAACGACGACACTGGACGAACAAAAACCGGCCCTAGAGAGAAGTGGTCTGGAGACCTCTTGGGCCCACGCATCGAAAAAGCTGGAGCAGCTGGACGTCTGGGTCGGTGGCAACTCATGGGAGCCACCCGTGCCACCCTGCTGCCTTTGGCTCGACGCTGGCCCTGCGCTTCTCTTCATCGACTGCTCCAGACGCGCGAGCGCACGCGAGCGCACCCCCGAGGACGGACTTGCGCGGACGCGCGAGGCTCCCGCGATCTGTTTTGCCCGACACCGCTGCAGAGCAGGGGGGGGCGGCTGGCCTCTGGCATGGTGCTTCGTGGTGCGGGGCGCCGACCGTGCCCCGCAGACCACTGTGCCATAGGTCAGCCGCCCAGGACGGGCGTGATGGCCTGCTGCAGGCGGATGCTGCAAGGAAAAGGAAACAGAGCCTTAAGCAACACGAGACATCGAAAAATCACAAAACAGCTCGCCGCCTGGGCCCCACCGCCAGCCCAAACGGCGAGCACAAGTCGGGCGTAGCCCCGCACGCATTCGACTGCCCACACTTCGTCCTCGTACTACTCGTATGCCTCCCCGTCCTCCTCCCCATCCTGGTCGTCGTCGTCGTCCTCCTCCTCCTCCTCCTCCTCCTCCTCCTCCTCCTCCTCCTTCTCGTATTCCTCATCCTCCTCGTCTTTGTCGTCTTCCTCCTGCTCCAGCTGTTCCTCGTCGTCCTCGTCTAAGACGTCGTCCTCATTTGTCCTCTTCCTCCTCCTGCTCATCCTCCTTCTCCTGGCACGTCGGTCCTCGACGCCCTCGCTGGCCCGCTTGCGGTTTTCTCTGGGTTTGGCGGCAGAGGCCATAGGTTGCGCCCTAGGTTGCGCCATGGGTTGCGCCCTCGGCGGCCGAAAATAAAACCGTCTCCTATCGATTGCGCCATGGGTTGCGCCCTCGGTGGCCGAGAATAAAGCCGTCTCCAACCGGTTGCGCCATAGGATGCGCCATCGGTGGCCGAGAGTAAAGCCGTCTCCTATATGTTGCGCCATGGGTTGCGCCATCGGCGGCCGAGAATAAAACCGTCTCCTACCGGTTGCGCTATTGGTTGCGACCTTCGCGGCCGAGAAGAAAACCGTCGCGTAACGGGCGCGGCCAGTCAGTTCAGTTAAATTCAGTTCGGTTCAGCTCAGCTCAGCTCAGCTCAGTTCATGTCAGTTTACCTCGCGAGAAACACATTCGGGCCACGCCCGAGAAAATAGTCGAACAAACACGTTCCCAGACTGTGTTCTGACTACTTCTGCATCATGATGGCCCACCGCGGTGGTCGTGAAAAGCGGGCCCACGAGGATGCACTCGCCAGCACAGTAGACCAGGGCGCACGCGCTGAGGAGCAGGAAGGCCACGCCCACGACCACCAGCGACAGCTGCTGCGGCGAGGCGCCCAAGGTGGCCGCCACGCCGAGCAGCGAGGCGGGCGCGGGCGCGCGGGGCAGCGTGCCGGCGGCGGGCCCTGGTTCCAGGAAGAGGAGGAGGAGGAGGAGGAGGAGGAGGAGGAGGAGGAGGAGGAGGAAGAGGAGGAGGAGGAGGAGGAGGAGGAGGAGGAGGAGGAGGAGGAGGAGGAGGAGGAGGAGGAGTGCACGTACCCAAAGAGGAAGAGACGAGGGCAAGCGGACAAGAAGCGTGACGAGGGCAAGAAGACCGTCCGCTCCTGACCGTCAGCCGCGCGACTACTTCCAGAGCATTGCTTTGGCACAACCCTTCAGCTATCGAAGCTGGGGTCGGCGAGGCGTGCTTCATTTTGTGTGAGCAGCGAAAAGAGAGCTCAATCCGCTGATTCGACCACGTCGACGAGATCTCGTTCGCGGGCTCAGACGGATAGGCTGCGACAGGGCCATCGCCCCATGATGTAAGCGTGCTGTGGAGGTTGGGCGAGGCGTGGGAGCAGGGGAGGCACAGGAGGACCGAGCGGGCGAGGAGAGGCGGGACTGAATCGGGCGCTGCTGGGCACCCTGCCACACAAGCTTTCAGCAGGCGAACGTGCATGCAGTGGGTCGTTGACTGTCCCCCTGCGAGGGTCTTGTAGCCCATCCAGCGCCAGTTCGGGCGGACAGGGCGCATGGCATTCGAGAGAGCAGCGCAGTGCGAATCCAGCTCTGGGGACGGGGGCGGCTGAGAGATGCCCCGGGCTGCGGTATACTTCGCTGGCATGACTGTAAGGGGCGATGAGACGGAGGCCCGCGGCAGCTTGAACGCGACCGCGCGCTGAGCCTCTGGGCGGCGCGGTGGATCAGCACTCGGGGCCTCGTGAAATTCGCTGGCAGCCGCGCGGTTCGTCGTGGCCGCGGCAGCTGCTGGCAACGGCTCAATTCGCTGATTCGACCGCGACGACGAGATCGCGTTAGCGGGCTCAGACGGATAGGCTGCATCGGGGCCATCGCCCCTGGATGTAAGCGCGCAATGGAGGTTGGGCGAGGTGGTTGAGCAGGGGGGGCGCAGGAGGACCGAGCGGGCGAGGTAAGGAGGGACTGAATCGGGCGCAGCTGTGCACCCAAACACACAGGAATTCAGCAGGAGAACGTGCATGCTGTGGGTCGTTGTCCGTCCACCTGCGATGGTCTTATAGACCAACCAGCGCCAGTTCGCGCGGACAGGGCGCATGGCATTCGTGAGAGCAGCGCAGCTCGACTCCAGCTCTGGGGACAGGGGCGGCTGAGAGGAGCCCCAGGCTGAGGTGCACTTCGCTGGTATGACTGCGAGGGGCGATGAGAAAGAGGCCCGCAGCAGCGAGAGCGCGACCGCACGCTGCGCCTTGGGGCGGCGCGGTGGCTCAGCATTCGGGGCCTCGTGAATTTCGCCGGCAGCCGCGGGGTTCGCCGCGGCCGCGGCAGCTGCAGGCGACGGCACAACAATGAAGAAAGGCTCCCATTCCCCACTGGGCGTGAAAGTGGCAGAGTGAATGGCAGCAGCAACGACTGAAATCTGAGCTGAGCATGGGACAAGAGGCGGGCTCCATTCCGCCAAGGCACTGCGATCTACTTTGCGAGGTGTGTCAAGCAGGGGATAATGCAACTGGCAGAGAATGTGATGTGCACTACGGGCAGGCTTTTGACTGGGCGGAGCCGACTGCGAGACATTGCTTAGCGTTGAAACGACTGGTGAATTGTGGAGACGGACGGTGGCAACGCTGCCACCCTGCACGAGCTGATAAGAATTCGCCCAAAGCAGAACGGCGACACACTTGCGAGGCTTCAGGGGGAGAGGCACAGGCAACTGAGCGGCGGCAAAGGGGTCGCTGTCAGCGCGCAGCGTGTCGAACGCGAACGCGAGGAGGCCAGTGTCGACGGCGCAGCTGCCCAGGGAGCGCTTGTCTTTGTCACGCATGCCGTCGTAGGTCACGATGCGCAGGGCGATGCGGCAAGCGCGAGGGGCCATGGCGAACGCCCAAGCCGAGCCGCGCGCGGGGCAGCCCTGGGCCAAACCAAATCCGGACGGGAGCATGAAGTAATGAACGCCATGATCATTGAGGATGCTGTAGGGGGCGAGGTACCGCTGGAGAGAGATGCACATCGGGCCCTCAAGGGTGCCGCAGTACTCAAGCGGCGCGAGGAGCCTGCCGCAACCGAGCGACAGGGACAGCTCCGCGTGGTCGATGCGGTTGAAGACGGGCTTGTGCTTGTCGGCCTTTGGTTGAACTCCAGCTTGATGCATCTCGGTGCCGAGGTTGGTGATGAGGCGCCTCTCGGCGGTGGGGTTGATGATGTGCTTGGTGAGAATGCAGCCCACTACCAAGCCCTGCTGCAAATAATACGTCCGCTCTGCCGCAGCGGATTTGGCGATGATGAAGGCTTCACCTGCGAAGGCAATGAGATCTGTGTACTTGAGGGACGGCGGGCGCGTGTCCCCAGGGCGGCGGTCCGTGGTGAGCACGCATATGAGGATGACGCCCTTCGGCATGATCATGAAGGCATGGTCGTGCAGGACGAGGGCGAAGACAGGGTTGAAGCAGAAGGCAGAGGCAAGGTCCTCCATCGGGCCAATGGGCACGCGCGCGGCGAGCCAAGCGCGGGACGGCAAGAGGTCGAGCCCAGATGCAGGCGAGGACGAGCGTGGCAGAAAGCCTCTGAAGTGCGACTTGGCGAGCGCGTCGCCGTCGCTGATGGGATGGCTGAGCGAGAGCGCGATACTGCACTGTTGGACCTTGGAGACGGCGACGCGCTTGCGCTTGAGGACGGGAGTCCCGAGGGCGCGGAGAGCACCAACCAACGCGCAGCTCTCTCTGGCTATTCCTGGGCGGCCCTCGGGGCCGGTGGTTTTGATCCCCTGGATGACCAGACGGCGCTTCCAGGTGTCCCAGAGAAGGGCCCTGCGCAAGGAAGATCGGTTGACCTTCCTGAGCTTCTCGGGGTCGGCGGCTCCTGGGGAGCCTCGCGGCAGCTGAGCTGCGCGGTGCGCCGGAGAGCGCTGCCGAGCCTCGAAGTCGCGGTGCAGCGCGGCAGACTTCATGGTGAACTCGGCGGAATTCGTGAGCACGATGAGCCCGATGTCGATGTTGAGGAACTTGGCGCCCAGCTCGGAGGTGGGTTGTAAACGACGAGCTGGGCGAGCGCCCCGGCGCCAGTCCGCCCAACGGTGGCTAAACGCGCCGCGCGGCCTCCGCTGCGTCCGCGAAGAGCGCCTGGAACGACGTGAGGATGGCGCCGCGGTCAAGGCCGCGGAAGGCGGCAAGCTCGACCGCCTTCTCGCTCCACTCAAGGACGGCTGGGT